TTCTGTAAGAATAATTTCCTTTTAAAAAATTTGATCTGCCACTTGAAGCAAAGGAAGGCAAGAATGTTAACACAGTTCTATAGTTTCCAATGGCTAAATAGTATAATACCAAAAAAATATAAAAGGTGCAAAATTTTTGTGCTATTAAATTATATACAAATAATAGATAGAAAATTGTGTGTAAGTTACATGACTCAAGGTCAACATACAAAACTCAATTGTATTTTCTATATATCAATAACAAATATATATAAATGAAATTTTGAAAAAATATAACATACTAGTGTTAAAGGACATGAAATACTTGTGGGTAAGTTTTACAAATAGGTTTACAATTTTACAATGAAAACTGCAGAACATTGCTGATAGAATTTAAAGGAACATAAATAAATAGAGAGATACAGAATGTTCATGGATTGGAAGACTCATTATTATGAAGAATTTAAGTAAATTCTCCCCAAACTGATCTATAGATTGAATTCAATCCTGTTCAATATTCCCATAAGTTTTCTATGTAGAGATTGGTAAGCTAAATATAAAATTCATATAGAAATGCAAAGAGCTTAGAACAATCTTTAGAAAGAAGGAAAAATCTGGAAAAATTGCACTACTTGATATCAAGACTTCTGTAATGTTAAAAAAAATCAATACAATGTAGTACTGGCATAAAGATAGACAAAGAAATCAATGGAACACAATAGACTATATAGAAATAGACTCACACACAATCAATAGATTTTAAATAAAGGTGCCAAGGCAATTTAATGAGGAAAAAAATATTTTCAACAAATATGCTGTAACAACTGGGTAAACATATAAAAACAAAATGAGTTTCAACACCTACCTTACATGATATACAAAAATTAATTTGTGATCATCATAATCTTAGATGTAAAAGCTAAAATAATAAAACTTATAGAAGAGAACATACAAAAATGTCTTTGATCATGGGTTTAGACAGAGATTTTTCAGATGGAACACAAAAAAACAATAATAAAAGAAAAAAAGAGATAAATTAGACTTCTATAATTTATATGTCTGCTTACCAGACATTTTTTAAGAAAATGAAGAGCAAAGTAACAGAATAGGAGAAAAATATTCAGAATTCATGCAATTGACAAAGGATTTGTATCGATAATATGTGAAAACCTACCTACTACTCAATAGTAAAAGAGGCAAATAACCCAATTTTCCAAAATATAGACAAAAGACATGAACAAATACTTTTCAAAGGAAGATATACAAATGACCAATAAGCACATTTTAAAAAGCACTTGACATGTTAGTAAACATGGAAACTCAAACTAAAGCCTACTCTCTTGCACTCATGAAATACTCTCCTACACTCACTAGAGTGGTTAAAATTTAAAGACTGACAAAAACAAATGTTGGTGAAAATACGAAATTCATATACAGTAATTTTCTTTGATGTTCAGGGGATATGTTTCAAGACCCCCAGTGGATGCCTGAAACCACGGATAGTACCAAACTCTATATATGCTATGATTTTTCCTATACATTAATTTATAAATTAGGCACAGTAACAGATTAACAATAATAACTAATAATAAAATAGCACAATTATAATGATATACTGTAATAAAAGTTATGTGGATGGCTTTGGGGCAATTATTAAGTAAAATAAGGACTGTGATACCCCAGCAGTCAATCTCCTAACCGAGATGGCTACTAAGTGACTGAGAGGGCTGGGGAGCATATACAGTGTGGAGATGCTGGACAAGGGGTGATTCACGTCCCAGGCCGGATGGAGGGGTCCGGCCTGAGATTTCATTACATTACTCAAGATAGAGCACAATTTAAAATGTATGAATTGTTTATTTCTGGAATTATCCATTTAATATTTTTGGGCCACGGTTAACTGCACGTAACTGAAACCAGGGAAAGCAAAACTACAGAAAAACATTTTGGCAGTTTCTTATATAGTTAAAAATACACCTAATTTATGATCCTCTAATTCTACTCCTAGGAATTTACCAAGAGAGGTAAAATATGTCGACAAAAGAAATAAATAAAAAATGTTCATGAAAGCTTTATTCTAAACAGCATCCAAAAAATTAAGAGAATAGATAGACAAATTGTGGGATTTTGATAGAATATTACTCTGTAATAAAGAGCAAAAGTTATTCTGCATTACATGCAATAAATGGATATATTTTTAAAACAATACACTATGTAAGAGACTCTAGATGCACACAAAAAATATACACTTTCTATTTCCATTTATATAAGGTTTTAGAAAAGGCATAACTAATCTATAGTGAAAAAACTAATCTATAGTGAAGAAAAAATGCTTCCCTGGAATGGGAGATTAGGTTTGCCTGGGAAGGGGCAGATGAGAATTTTTTCAGGATGGAGAAATTATGTATCTGAATAGGGGTATGGATTATACAGGTGTTTGCATTGTTGAAACTCATTAAACTATAACACTTAATATCTCCACATTTTATGGTATGTAAAATACACAGTTTTTTAAAAATTTGAAGAAAAATTCATAAATAATTTCCTGTAAAAATTATTCAATCGAAATCTTTTCAGAAAAGAAAATGATTGACAGTAAGAATGTAGAATTTTAGGTGATTTTTAAATTGTGCTTTCTCTGTTTATTCATTCATTCAGTAATTATTAAGTACCTACTATGTGATTGTCACTGTTCTAAGTGTTTTGAACATGCCAGTGAGCAAAACAGACAGAGATGCTGCTTTCAAGTTGCTAACAATCTATAGAGGGGAGTAAGAAGAAAGACAGATAATCAGGAAAATATTATAAATAAGTAAATGATGTAGTGTTTAAAAAACCAAGAAATGCTACAAAAGAAAGCCTGTGACACTGCCATATTATGCCCCAGCTGCTTGACACCAGTTTTTAAAAAGTTATGGATATGTCTTTATTAACTGATTAGCATTTTGCCCTTATTAATTGCTCAATCATGCATTAGAAGCATTCCAGAAATAGGGGAGCATGTGTGTGTGTGTGTGTAAATGTGCTGGGTTATCATCATTGCTTTATTCCTTAAGCTTTTGTGATAATTAATGCCTGAATAAATATCAAGATGTCACCTGGAGTAGGTGAAAAGGTTGGTTTCAAGGATATTGTGTTCAACGCTAATTGCATTTCATGTGTTACCGAGTCAGAGTGACACTGAGTTATCAAGTCAAAAGCAGCCCTTTTTGTCTTCTGTGTGAAAGACAAGCAGATCAAATGTTACAGAATTCAGATGCCCAAGTCATTAAGATGTGGTTGTACATAAAAGATGGAACACTGATAATTCAAAATAGACAAGAAGAATGTGCCTTAGGAATAATTCTTCTATAAGTCGTAATATCTGGCACAAAATATAAATAAAGCCCTATTTTTCTCCTTCTGTGCCCTGACATAAAGGAGTTACTGAGCCCACTTGTTATCTGCCACTAACAGTGAGTCATACCTAGGCCTTTAGCTATGGAGAGACTACCTGTACTTTTTCTACAAGACATAGACTGAGAACATAAGAAATCCCCCAACAAAAAGCGATAATAACAACGATTCAAAAGTTTCTGCAATGAGATTATTCAAAACACAAAAATATTAAGATCCAAGTTGTCTTTCTATAGTTAGAAAACATAGACGAAAATAAAGTGTTTTTAATGTTTGCTCTTATTTGTAGTTTTTAATCATGTATCTTGGAAAAATCACTCTAATCAAGTTCCAATCTTACATATATATTACCTTCAATCTTACATATATATTACATCAGAGGATTCCTCCCTTGTGTTTATTTGCCAGCAACAGCTTCAATTTTCCTGTCTCTTTATATATATATATATATATAACTCTGTTCACATGGGACGCCTTCTCACCTGCTGAAATGCTGCCTGCATTTCTAGTTTCAACTCAAGTTCCTTTCCTTGGCGAATTCCTCCCCAGCCAACATAATCAGAAGTGACTAGTCCCTCCTCTCAGCTCACACAGCATGAACCTCTGTCCCACTTATTTGGTCTAGAATTGTACCAGGTTATTTCCTGACTACAATTATCCCCCTTAGAGCTTCACAGCCTGGTTAGTGTAATATGAATTGTAGGCTCTATATGCAGAACCCACTTTAAATCAAAGATGCATTTGCAAAATTGATTTGTAAATTTTGTCATTACAGATACTGATGACTCCTTGGTCAGCCCATAAAAGCTTATCTAACTCATACACTATCTGACATATAGTATCAATAGTACCCTTCATCAAATTATTTTTCTGAGAAAATGCATTTTTATGTGATTTTCTACACTGCCAACATCAAGTTAATCAAAAATTTTTAGTTGACCAAAAGATGCTTAAATGATTATTAATGGTAAAATGTTCTCTAAATTCCCACAGCCATTGGTATATGGCTTCCTGAGAAATCCACAGGACTGATCCTCACCCTGTGATTTCCAGGTTTCTGCTCAGCAGTGTCTGTTAAACCTTACATGAACTTTGAAGGCTGCATGTTTTCCATCACTCAAGAAAATACGTCAAAATGGGGTATGGGGAGTGGTGCACAGTACCATCGTGCCTCAATTTCCGGGATATTTCTCTTAAAGGGGCTTGGGCATGCTTTAATCCCTTAAACAGAATCAGTGCGTTGCTTATTTGGGCTGAATTCATAAAAGCACAAAAATGTAAAATAAGACAATGCTATTTGGTCTTTTCAGCATTGTCTTTCATACTGCTTGTGTACAAAAGCATTTATTAGATAAGGTGTTTAAAGATAACGTGGAAGAAAAAATTCTGGTTCATGGATGGGTGGTTTTGACCTGAAAAACAGTCAATAAAAATATAGAAATAACAAACACTTTGAAACAAAGGAAATTATAAAAATTAAGCTAGTTTTGTGCTCATTTCCTTTTTCTTCTGTTCCTTTTGGATGAGCTTAGATGATTGATAAGAATAATCATGCAATTTATGACAATACAAGCCTTTCTCTGAAAGCCCTGTTCTGGGGCAGAAGTCAGAAGAGTTTCTCTTACCTCTTAGTTCCCCCATATCCAGAGTTGTCCCAAGTTGTTCTAATAAAGCAACTCTTGCTGCATTCTTTTTGTGTTTCTTGCCATCATAATGTTGCTGGGCCATCAGAGGATTATTAAACCAGGCTGCACAGAGCCCACAGTATCTATCTGAATCTCTTCTTTGATAGGGGGATGCGACCACTGGAGCAGCGTCCACCCTTGGAGGCTTAAGTGAGCTCAGGGGGGTGGCTGTGAAGGCAAACAACCAGAGAGAACCACAAACCAGGTTAGTACACTTGTCCTCAATCTCCGAAGGTGGAAGAATCTTATGTACATTCTAGAGCTCAGAAATCCAAGAGTTTATTGAGAGCAGCAAAATAATCATTGCTAGCCTTTATTTTTGAAGTTGGGATGTGACTAAAAATTTCTAATTTATTGAGAGCAGTTTTCACTTTGTTATGCTTAAATCTTATAGTTCAGGAAACCATCCTTTATAAAGAAAGATTTTTTAAAAAATAAACTTTTGGAGAAAAAGAGTAGTCTATTAATCATATTGAAGCCACAATGTAAACTAAACATTGAACAATAGTGACTCGAAAGACTCGGAATGAATAAATAAGACATTTGTGTGCCATAAATAGAAATCACCAGTAAATAAAGGATTCACCCAAGTGATAGAAGCAGATCATTCAGTGACGTGGATTGTACCAATTGACAAAATCATGCTAATTTTATTGTCTATTACTTCTGTTTATTGTGATAGGTTATTTTCAAACTATATCTGCTAAAATTGATGTTGAAAGTACAATTTTATAAAAAGACCAAAAGACAAACACTATAGAGCAGATGTTGCTTCTCTAAACAGAAAAAGGCATATATCACTATTTTGAGATTGCACAGTCCCAGCTATTAAATTAACACATTCCATTGTGAGCTCACATTTATTTTTGGTCCAGAAAAAAGAACCTAGCCTGAAGTTTACTAACAGAAAGTAAAAAATAACTTTTTTGCATTACAACATACAAATTGCTCACATTCTTATAACAAGTGTGACTCGGATTATAGTCCTGTTTCCCACATAATGGACTTCAGAGATGTCAAATGATTTACTGAAAGTGAAATATCTAATTATGGTAAAGGCAGGACTCCAAACCAAAACCTTACTTTCCAAGGCCAATGTACCTTTTGATACCCCTAAGGACTCTTTTCATACTTTTTAATAAACAATTTTTTCCCCAGACCTGTCATCATTGTATTTTATATAGGACTTAATTTAATTTGGGGAGAAAAAAAATTTGAGTCAAATATTTTGGAGAAGAACAGGAAATTTAAATTTTCACATAGCCTGTTAGTCATAATGCCATACAGCAGTATCTTTTGTTTTTTCTTTGCCCCTGTGAATTGGAAAACCATGAAAATTAGGATCATTCCAAGGAAAAGCTGAGATGTTGAACAAATTAGGGAACCACTTAATCAATTCCCTAAGCTTTCAAATAACTTGTGTGTGGACTTTTATTTTTCAGAATAAAAATGCTAAATGCCATTTTAATTCAAGAAATGTCTGTAATGTAACAATACCTTGAGAAAGTCTTTTCCTCTCGATCCAGAGATTTCATCAGATAGGAAAGTTTTAGTTAGCATAGATGAAAATTAATGGCATTATTTCTATAGGGACTTAGAGAAATAATACATCTCTTAAAAGCCTCATTGCCAGATTTAGTCATAAATCACTATGTGAAAATAAAGCTCAAATGTGGGCTGTATCATCCTCGCAGCCACCCAGTATTATTCTGCTGTGACTTAGACATGCTAATAAAAAGTTACAAATATGCAGTTGACCTGCATGTGAAAGGAGTTCTATCCACTTTTCTGAAGGAAATTGGATCTTGCTTCCAAAGTTTCTTCATCGTTATCAATTTCTGAGGATTTACAGCCACCTATTGTTTCCGATGGCAATGGAAAACATATCAAATCTTTGCCATCTGAATGAACGTTGATTCTTAAAGCAAAATTTACTTTTCTCTTAACCGAGTCCTAAAAAATATATATCACAGTCAGATTTATCAATTGATCCTTTATACACCATATCCTGGCAGGGGTGATGCACAATAGAATATTCATCAATTAAGATAGTAATCTTATTTTGCACATAAAAAAGTAGTTTGATGCTGCGTCTGTATTGTAGTTTCTCCTTTTTAATAATGCTGCTCTCCTCTGTACAGCTCGAAAGTTTAATTTTTCTTATGCTTCTGTTTCCAACCGTCTTCACCAATCTCAACTCAGTTTATAGTCCGCCTAAAGGCAAACTAAGGCAGTAGCATGAGGGGAGTGGAAAAAGTTTAGAATCAAAGTCAGAAATCAAGATTTGGTTGAACTCCACACCACTGAGTTGTGTAACCTTTGGCAAATCTCTAATTTCTCTGGTTTCCACATGGTTAAAATTCAAGGTTATCATCTATTTAAAACAGGTAGTGTGGGGATGGAACACATTGTAGAAGCCCTCTCTTTTATGGCTTTTACTAGATGGCAAATAGTGAAGTTATATAGGAGGGGAGCAGTTTCCAAGTTATTTTGCTAAATATGTACATGTATTTGGATCATACTTCTTTGGCAAAAGTGTGTTCTTCTAATAAAATGAATACAAAGTAGGATAAAGATTACCCTTTTGTGTAAAACATCTTTTTAACAAAACACTTTCATTGATATATAGTTAATTTTTAATTTCATGCTGTATATTTTTACTCTAATTGTAAATATATTTAGCAAAATATAATTAGCAAAATATTTACTTCACTTTCCTTATACAGAACTAAAACCAGGAGTGAATTCATCAAAACCAGTAGTTTCCAAGCTTTAATGAACATTAGACTTACCGAGAGCTTAAAAGTCTCCAAGTCTAGTTTGTTCTCAGACTAATTACATTAGAACCAGGATGCTTTTAACACCTTCTTGCTACCACCGTCCTCACCCATGTTTCTAAGGCACAGATGATGTTGTGAAATACTGACCTAAATCTTGCCAGATTTCGTTTGAAAATGACTATAAAATAAAGTCTTCTTGGATCCTCACACAAAAAAGTCACATATTACATCCAACAGAAATGGAGTAAAAATTTTTGTAGGTAATAACTAAAATGTCACATTTTTATCCATGAGACAGAAAGGAATAATAATTACTTGGTATTTTCTTAAAACCCCAATCAGTTTTCTCATTTCTCCAAGATATAAAAGGTTGTCCAAAATAGTGGCTGATGTAATACATTAATATGATAAAAGTTAGATAGCAAATCTGATCATTTTCCACAGGCAGAAACCCAAATACACATTGAGCTGTCGAGCTGTTGTACCACCTACTTCTGACGGGTGCCATCACCAGCCTAGTCTGCTGCTCTGTGCTGTCCTTCTCCACATGGCTAAACACCTGTCCTGCAGGATGCTCCTCGATCCCATCTGGTCTGTGAGGCCTTGACAACTGCCTTATAATCTTGTGTGTGTGTGTGTGTGTGTGTGTGTGTGTGTGTGTGTGTGTGTGAGAGACAATGGAAATTAAATTGTAATATTTATACTTTGATAACTTGCTATTTTTATGTTTGCTGTCTTCTCTAGTACAAGTCCTTAACCCCTTATTTTAATTCATAAAAAAGCAAAAATCTCTGAAATTAAAATTTCTTTATGATTTATTTCACATCAAAACCTGACCTGAATTTACTCAAGGCTAATTATAATATATATAATATAACATACATATATTATATATAGTAAACACACATACACATTGCAGCAGAATCATTAATATCTCTGATCATGGAGTGCTGTCTCAGATCTATAGAAACAACATATGGTACATGTACCTCATTATATACCAAAAATCTTAAAATTTCTGATTTTCAAAATTCAGCCATAGATATTTTGAACAAAAGATCACAGATCTGCAGTCAGTTCAGAGTAACTAAAATAAACACATTATTCTAATGCTTGAGACAGTTGAACAAGTCATTCCCCAAAACTTGATTTCTAAGAATCACCTGACACTGGAATAATTTGCACTATCATTTTAATGCCTTGCATAATGTTCATAAAGGATCCAGTTATCAACTGCTATTTGTAGTTGTCTTTAGCAATCTAAAACAATTTGTGTCTCTGTCCTATATTTGTTTCTTTCTGGAAGAATAACCAGTTGATCTAAGGACAAAAATATTTCCAGAGTATCCTCAGAAAACTTCCTCATTCTGTAATATAACACTGTGTACAATCAAACTCTCCATGATGCCAGCACCTTGAATGATGGCAGACACACAGTGTATACATCCCACGCCTTTTGCTGAATGTATGAATGAACGAATGTTCTTCACATGAGAAGTGAATAAAGTATACTAGTAACCAGAATTTTCTTATTTCTTCTAAATTGTGTCATTTAGGTTTGAGCAGTTAGGTACTATACTGCTAGTCAATGTAAATACTAGCAAATGAATGACAAGATTATGAGGGTGAGTGAAGGCTAAATCGTGGAAGGGCAACGTGTCAAAGTGTAAACATACAATCCAATCTCCCTCCTCCTTTTAGATTCAGCTGGATATTTTGAATGTCAGTATCATTTCAAACTTTTGTCGATTTGCTGGAGTGACCTATTTCTATACATTTCAGAGAGTGCACGTATGCACATTATTCTGGAAATTTTACTTTCGAACAGGAAGCCTTCTACTCTAATTTGTTTATCTGGTATTTAAACCCTTACCCCAAGCTTCTGAACTGGTACCAGTTTGCCAGGAACTGAGAGAGGTCCCAGGACATAGATCTTTCAAGAATTAAAACAGAAGAAGTCCTGGACAAACTGGAATGAGTTGGTCATGCTAGTTTCTGAGGTCAGTCCTGATTTAACATCACAATGGAGAAACAGAATTCATAAAAAGTTTGGAAATAATTGGTCAGGAACCTAGAGCAGGTGCACTTTCAACCGCAGAGACAGGATCTACCAATAGGTCTTAAAGCTTTACTTGTCAGATCACCAAGTAGGTGTCCTTAGTCAGAGAATCCCTGTCTGCCTTCTGGACCACAGCCACAGGGTGTCCTTCAACCCCGAGGACTGGAACTTGGGACTTTCATTCTCATTCTCTCTCTCATTCTTTCATTCTCTCTCTCTCTCTCTCTCTCTCTCTCTCTCTCTCTCTCACACACACACACACACACACACACAAACACACACACACTTTCTAGACTTTAGGATAAATTAGTTCATTCTCACAAAAGATT